GGTAATATCACTCATGTGGTAGACACCACATGGAAATTGAATTCATGTGGTGAACACCACATGGAATGGAATTCATGTAGTAAATGTCGTATGGTAAAGGTAATTAATGTATATGGACATTACCGTACGTAGTAATAGGATTCATGTGGTAATAGGATAAAATCTCACCTGATTTGACACCAGTGCAACAAAATCTAGCGTAAGCTAACTGCCTTCTGACAGTTGGTCTTGATGTGCACAACTTGCCCATTTCTGCAAAAAAAAATTACATTCTCTAAATTAGCAGTGAAATTGCCATTTTTTTTTTACAGTAAAGTACCGGATAGTGATTGTTGTTACAATAGTACTCTTTATGTTTCAATTGGAAGTAAACTAACAATAACACATACGACGCATATTGAACACAACACATTGTGACCCCCCTTCCCCTCTCGCACTTAACTAAGAATTATATTTAGGATCGATAATTAAAATATGAATTTTCACATTTGATCTGAAATGTAAGCTGATATAAAGGGAAGATTTGGTGACAGATGTAGGATTATACGCTGAAATGCACTAGTCTGTAAATATTGTGATTTATAATGTTTAATTTACCAGAAAAAAACACACCCTAAACGATCAACTCGTGTGTATAGTCTTGTCACGGCACTCTGATAAAATTGTTTTGTTTACAGCTTTTGCGAGTCGCTAGTTTATGAGTAATTATCAAACCCTCTTCCAATTAATGTTTGCAACCCCCCCTTCCAATCTTGCATATATCACTGCTAAAAATAATTTACAATAATTAATACAAAGAATACATCAGTGAACTTATTTACTAGAAATTCTACTGAATTGAAAGGGAAAAAAATGTATGATTAATAATGCAGTAAATATAACGTAATACAATTAAATAAATTTTACATTAATATTTATTCATATTTCCAAGGTTTCAAAATTCAATTAAAAATACATAATACCTCTGTTGCTCTATTTAAAAACCACACACAAAGCAACAATTGAATTTATTGTATGCAAAATCATAGAAATATGTTTTCTTTTGACCATAGACTCGCCTCTGTCATTTATGAAAGTAGTCAAGCGCTTATAATAGAGCAAATAATGGTAAATGTTAAACAATGAATATTCAAAAATATTAGTTTTGTAGTTTTCTGTGTTACCAAAACGTCAAATAGGCAATATGCATCCACTTTTTCTTTGTCGTGGTGTGGTGATCTTATTGATTATTTTAATAAAAAAAATAGTTAATATTATCATCACTTTCATTTCAGTTATGACTATTTGTGGTTCTATAAATCTTCATAGTAATCTGTCTTGAGTTATTTATTAAACTTTAGAGTACAAAAAATAAACTTTTGTCACCTTTCAAAAAACCTGCATAAATTTTTTAAAATTTTTGATCAAAACCTGCAATCCATGGTCACAAATTAATAAAAAGATAGAAAAATTAGACACCAAAATTTTGCAGGGAAAAGAAACGTTCAAAGTACCATTGGAGGGTGATGCAGTTAGTTTGATTAGACATACTGTAAGCTGCCACATAGCAATGCAGTCATGTACTATCAAGTTATCGCTGTAATCACGGAGAAAATTATTATAACACATCTTTCCCATTAAAATTACTAAAATGTAGAATTAGACATACACAATGGAGATCTTTAGCACAAATGTTGCTACTTCCGGTGAAGCCCACGTGAAAAAAGCTGGCACCACCAGCAGCACACCCAAGAATAAGCATGTACATATGCGTCTATTACACCATTTAAAATCATGCTGAAACAAACATGCACATGAATTGGAAATATGGAAAGTAAAACTAAATGTTGTCCAGATTTCCTTATGACATAATTTTACCTGCCAAATTGTAATGAAACATTTTTATATATTTTTACCAGATGAATATAATTTCTCATTGACTACAGATTTTTATCAATATTTCTGAAAAAAAATAGGGAATACTGTAAAATACTTTATTTTCACTTGAAAATAATTTTTGCTATTTTGCTTAAGGAATGATTCAGTGAAAATAAAATCAAGCGAATGTATCTTTTTCCCTATATTTTACATTCAACTTGTCAAAAATCAGTGAAAATTAATTCCATATAAAACACCCTAAAAAAGTCTTTTCAGTGAAAATTAAGTCCCGCTAAAATAAAGTTTTTTACAGTATGCTGATGATTTTATTTGAAAGATGACAAAAGTTGAAGTGAAAATGAGTCAAATTATCAATGGGACACATGATAGTTTTTCCACAAGCAAAGACAAAAGATGCCTTTATCCGCGTAACAGATGTTTGTCAGATGTAATATCAGCAAAGCAAATCCAGCCTCATAATCGCTCACTGGATATTACACTTCAAAGCTTTTTTTTCAAAGCTTTTAAAAAGAAAATCCATTTTGATATTTGTCAAAGGGGACATTTTAAGTTGACAATTTGAATGAAGTATAACCCGAGTTTTCTTCCAACGGTTGACCCCTTTTTTTTGTTAAGTGGTAGAAATGACTGCAGCATATGTTGCCACGACGAGTACACATCATCAGTTTGCTTTCCTGCTATGACAGAATATATTGTTCAATGTGTGTACACGTTTTTGACATTATGCTTATCATGTCTGGCATTCAGCACAGTAAATATTATATTTCTATTCAATATTTCATTGCCGAATTATCTTGAACATTTTCTAATCTTTTTTCATATAATTCTTCAATATTTCTGGAAACGAACCTTAATTTTGGAGCCAACGGATAAAATTTGTGTCAATTTTCAGTTTTTACTAGAAAAAATTGGCAATTTTTGTCCCAATCTTCTGAAGGAAAGTGCAGACTATAAACAAGACTATTTTGTGAATATGTGATGAAAAGAAGGAACTGGTGGTGAAAAGGCTAATTGTTAGTTGAAAATATAACTTTTCACAAATCATTTAGATGCAGAAATTTAGATTTTGCAGTAAATTGATAATTCTGGAACAAATGTACATATGGACTGAAGTCGAACATTAAAAAAAATAAAAGATGGGGTAATTTGATTAAAGGCACCAGAATGTGATTTTGGCATTCAAAGGTTTATAAAAAACACAAATTTTCAAATTTTTTAATGTAACATTGATGTTACAAGATTCTAGTCCAATTGACAGTCAGATTTAGATTTTTGTGTACATGTATATACTTTTTATATTTGATGGACAACAGCAAAATACAAATATAACAAAAGATATAAGTGCAATGACTGCAATTATTCTATTACGTTTTACTTTATCATCATTCTTATTTTCTTTTCAGTTTTTCTGTGCAAGTACGCTTTTGTTTCTCTAAATTATTATTATTGTGTCAAAAATAAAAAAAAATATTATAAATAAAAAAAAAAAATAAGTATCATTATTATACATCTGTCACCGTAACGCCATAGGTTACAGCGTGTCGTAATTTTGCGGTATTTTACAAAGTATTTTCATCCTACCATATAAGGGAATGCGTATTCCAAATATGGAACGATTACGCGCGTAAGCGTCCTCTAATAAAAAACAAACAAACATGGTTGCCACCAGGGTTGACCGGA